GGGTGTCCCCCAAAACCCCTGAGCACACCCCAGCACAGCCACCCCCCACACCCCCAGCCTGGCGCCGCGGTCAGGGCAGGATCGCGGCCGAGCCCGAAAAAAACTGAGCCAGCAGTTTTGTTCCCCAGGCTCGGGTTCAGAAGAACCTCAGGAAAGGCTTTCCTGCCATATTTAAAGCAAATAAAAGTTTATCTGCTGGGAACAACCCAGCTGTGCCAGCATGGAGCGGTGTGGGACGCGGGAGGTTTCCCTGCCAGCTGCAGAAAGGCAAGGACATGGTCCCAGAACAGGACCCCCACATCCCTTCCCGTTCCAACTCTTTACTGGGGTTAAATAAAACCATCCAAGCACTAACAGCAATTTGCAGACGGGAATTGCCATTCAGAGCTGGTGAATCCATCCTGACACTGACCCCATGCAACCCTCATTCCCAAGGGTGAATATTCCTTAAGCACCTTTTACCCCACAACACAAATTCCCACGTGACACCACGAGGAAGGACCTTTAAACTCTGAACTAGTTCAGCCTTTTCCCAACCCCCAGATTTACGCTGGCACCAGGACAGCAGAGTGTCTCCCTTGTCACCAAATATTTGCTTTGGTCTAGATGGGAATGCCTTTGGCTTCCGAAAGCCTGGAACTTGCATGTTTGTGCAGCAGGGAAAAAGTGCCCCGAGGTGCCTTTTTTTGTTGTTGGTGGTTCCTGGGGTTTTGCAGAAGTTGGGAAAGCCAGAGGTGATGCTCTATCTCACCGCCACGGCACTTTGGGTCCGCACCACCGAGGCCTCGTCCAGCACTGTGTCCGTGTATTATGGATTCCATGCACTGCATCCCTGTGTTGTGACGCTGTGCTGCGGCCACGTGCTGCATCCATGCATTGTGGTGGTGCATCGTGGCATCCATGCGTTGCATCCATGCACTGTGGCCGTGAATTGCATCTACATTTTGGCACCTGTGCATCGTGGCATCCATGCACTGCATCCACATACCACAGATGGTGGTATCGTGGCCACGCGCTGCATCCGTGCATTGTAGCATCCATGCATTATGGCATCCATGCACTGCATCCGTGTGTCACAGTTGTGCATCACGGCCATGGCATGGCACCTGTGGACTGCATCCATGCATGGTGACGTGCAGCATGAATGTGCAATGCCTCCAAACATCACGGCCACGCGCTGGATCCGTGCGCTGCATCCGTGCATCTTGGCTGTGAACCCCGGCCGTGTATTGCATCCATGCATCATGGAATCCTTGCACTGCATCCATTGTGGCCACGCACTGCATGCACTTCACCTGCACGTTGCATCCATGCGCTGCATCCATGCACTGTGGTGCTGCATCACAGATTCTACGCGCTGCACCCGTGCATCACGCGCCGCCCCCGTGCGTTGCATGCGTGGTTTGTGGCACCCATGCATTGCATCTGTGTGTCACAGATATGCATCATGGCCATGCACTGCATCCCTGCATCGTGATGATGTGCTGTGGCCCTGCATCAGGGCTGTGCACTGCAGCCACGCGTTGCATCTGTGCGTTGCATCTGCATGTCGTGGCCTTGCATTGCATCCCTGCATTGCAGCGGCGCAGCGTGGCACCTGTGAATTGTATCTGTGCATTCTGACATCCGTGTGCTGCATCTGAGCATCGTGGCTGTGAACTGTGGCCATGCACTGCATCCATGCATTGTGGCAGTGTGTTGTGGTCATCTGTTGCATCCACGCATCGTGGTGGTGCATCCCAACATCCACACGTTGCATCCGCGCACCACAGCTGTGTATCGTGGCCACGCACGGCCCCTACCCATAGTATCCATGCCTTGTGGCCATGCATTGAGGCTGTGCCTTGCCCCTGTACGTCGTGGCCACGTGTTGCATCTGTGCTTGTGTTTGTGCACCGTGGCTGAGCATCCCGGCCGTGCCCAGACACGACTCATCCCAAACAGAGCAAACAGCAAACAGCACCCGGCTTGCTTTCAAGGTTCATTAAAAGCCCCAGGAGTGAATGAAACGGGGCTGAAGGTATTTGGCAAACGTCCTCTACCGGCCCTGTGCCCGGCAGCTCCAGTGCCCCGACGCAGGGCCAGGCGTGACGTGACTTGCACGAGTTGTGATGAGGAGGAGCCACATCCCTGGCAAAGCAGCTGCATCCCAGGGCACCCTCCAGCACCCTCTGTGCCCTGCTCCCATCCAAAGGTATCCTGCAGCCCCAAAGGATTCATGAGAGCATCTTCCCATGGCAGCTCTGTGGGCTACAGCCGGCTCAGAACTACAGCCACTCCTGAGTTACTGCTGAATCCGTCACTGGGATTCTCTGCTGGGCATCAGCTCCCACCCAGAGCTTCCCCATGGCACCACGGTGCTCTTAGAATCACGGAATGGTTTGGGTTGGAAGGGATCTTAAAGACCATCCAGTTCCAACCCCCTGCCATGGGCAGGGACACCTTCCACTAGACCAGGTTGCTCCAAGTCCCATCCAACCCAAACTGGAACACTTCCAGGGATCCAGGGGCAGCCACAGCTTCTCTGGGTAACCCATGCCAGGGCCTCCCCACCCTCACAGCCAGGAACTTCTTCCCAATATCCCATCTAACCCTGCCCTCTGGCAGTGGGAAGCCATTCCCCCTTGTCCTGTCACTCTCTGGCATCCCAGGGCTGTTCATCCCTAGTCACTGTATTTTCCCCTCCTCCTGCAGCCTGGATTGTTCCCAGAGCATCAGGGATGAAACCCCACAAGTTGCCGACAGCAGAACACAGATATGGGAGGAAAAAACCCCAAACCATATATTTTGGTATTTCTTTAGAAAACACCCCAGTTCCTGCTGCTGAATGAGAACATTCCATCAGCTGACCACACAGGGATGGTCCCTGTGGAGAACCCCCTCAGTTCCAGGAGCTTCCCCGGGGGCTCTGCCAGCACTTGGAGCTGCACAGATTTAGCAAGAGGGCACACAAAGCCCTTTCCAGGGTGCTGTGCCTCCAGCAGCCTCGGCCAGACGCCGGCAAATTCTTTCCAAGCATCTGCTGCTCATTCCGACAATGTCAGCTTTGATTCCCTGGGACCCCGCGCCGCTGCCCTTGGAGTCGTTCCTGCTCCGGCGGAAGCGTCGATATGAGGAACAAACAGAGAACCATGGAATGGTTTGGCTTGGAAGAGACCTTTAAAGATCCAGTCCAACCTTCCTGGCTCGAAGCTGGAAAAATCCTGGATTGCAGGGAGAGCCCCCCTGGATTGCCACGCAGCGGAGGGGGTGACACAGGTCATCCCACACTCCAAGTGGGAACCTCCACCCCAGGCAGTTTTCCAAAGGGTTTTCCATCCAGAGAGCAAAGCCAGCTGGAAAAAACACTTGGGAACGAGGACTTGGGCACGGATCAGCCTCTGCAGTTCCAGGAGATTCGGCTCTTCCAGCCACGTTTTCCAAGCTATAGGAAAAGACCACTAAAACTCCACAGGAGCACACTGAAAATCCCTTGGAGCTCCAGAGAAAATTCCTCGATCCGCCGTGTTTTCCAGCCCAGGCTGCTGGGATACTGTCTCCCTCCCTCGTACTGATGCCATGGGATAAATCCTGCCACAAAGCTCTGCTGTAAAGAAAACACCACGCCACGAACCTGCTTGGAAAAGCAGCCGGGGCCGGCGCTGCTGACTCGGCGAGGGATTTGTTCATCCCGGGATCCTGCAAACACTGAGGGCAGGGAGAGGCTGGGCTTGGTTCAGATGGAGGTGCTGGAGCAGCGTGACAGGCTCCCATTGGAAATACAAATTTGGATGCAATTCCAGGCTGGGGGTTTAACATCGCTTGAACTTGCCAGCTTGAGGTGGGGTTTTGCTCCGAGCGCGCAGATTCCGTGGATGAGAAGAGAGGCTTGATGCACGGGCAGCATTTTTCCCACTCCATACATTCCAAAGAAGCATTCAGGTCTCTATCCTGATGGGTTTGGGTCAGGTTTGTACCCCTGTGGCACCCACCGGACATCACAGTGCCCCCCCCGCTCAACCCAGCCATGATCTGCAGCCTCCAGGCAGATCCAGCCCATTTCCCATCACACAAATTCACCCCCTCCTTGCCAAAATATCCATTTTTTTTTAAAAAATTTGCCCCTGACAGCTGCCCTGTCAGATCTCTCCATCCCTGGAGGGATTTAAAAGCCATGTGGGGACGTGGCACTTGGGAACATGGATTAGTGGTGGGCTTGGCAGTGCTGGGGGAATGGCTGGACGCGATCTTAGAGGTCTTTCCCAACCTAAACCGCTCCACAGTTCCATGATTCCAACCCACCCCCGGGCTTTTGTTCCAGCCCTCCCGAACCACAACAGGGGCGAGGGAAGGGATCCAGCACAGGACCCACACGTAGGCACGGGCCATCCCGCAGCCAGAGGCTGCCCAGAGCGCAGAGGGAGACGGGAAGGTGAATTCACGGGGCAGGAATTTCTGGTTTTTAAGCGTTTGGAGTGGGTCTCACCCCACATCATAGGGCTCAGGTATGTGCAGAGCTGTTATTACAAGTTTCAAGGCCGTCACTTAATGCAGCTTCTCCAAACCCAAAAGCCAGATTAATTCCTGCTTGCGGTTGCCCCGTAATTAAAATCGTCTCCAATTCTTCATGAACTCAACAGTTTCCCCCTAATGAAGGGAGGCAGATGAAAGAGACCTTCACTGGGAAAAAGGACTCGGTTATAAATATTCCATTACTTCATCCGCCACAAAAGCTATTTGGATGCTGGAAACTCAGCCTGGGCAGCCGGGGGCCAGCCCCCACCAGCCCCAGCAGATACCCCCGAGTGCTGGGGGTATCCAAAAAGCCTCTCCAGGGAAGGTTCCCTCAGGAGCTCGCCTGTCTCCACCTCTGCAACACTCCTCCTCTTCCTCCTCCTCCTCCTCCTCTCCTTTGCCTGTTGCAACGGGACAACAGCAATGGGCAGAGGGGGTGCTTGGGACACCCGGGGATGGCTGAGCCATGTGCATCATCCCAAAAATGGGATAATGGCCCCTCTGTCCTGTCCTGCTGGGGACAAGCCCCATGGGACATCACATTCCGTAGGAAAACACAGGCCAAGCCACGGCAGCTCAGGAAACTGCTCCCCTGCTCATTCTTCTGTTGTGCACGGAGCCGAATCCAGCCTGGAAGTGCAGATTTTCCATTCAACACGAGGAAGAGCCATCCCAGGCCTCTTCATTGCCTTACTTTGGAGCACTATAACATAAATAAAGCGTCCCAGCCTCCGCCAAGGATGGACACGGAGATGGATTTCTCCTGGCAAAGGCTCCAGCGAGGGAGGGACGGCCCCTGCTTTTCCTCTTCCCTCTCCTGCTATAGAACCAGCCCCTTCCATCGTATTTCCTTCCGGCAAACTTTGCCTGAGCCGTTGGGATTAGAACAATATCAAGACTGGGTTGGAGAGGGTCGTGCTCAGGACAGCCCAGCTCTCCCAGCCGACTCCAGCTCCTGTCCCCCAGCATTCCCAGGAGCTTTATGAACCATCCCCCAGTGTCAACAAGCCCAAACCTCCCAGAGTCCGATCCCTCTCTCAGGACCACAGGCATCACACTGAAGGATGGACATGGATGTGAAGAATTGCCTTTGCTCCCCTCTCCGTGGGCAGGCTGCAGCCCACACCAGCAGCAGCTGCCATAAATCCCTTGGGATTTGGCTGCGGGATCCCTGGACCACAAAGCAGCCCTAAGGGCCAGAGTCACCATCCTGAATCCCTGCACCACAGAAAGCACAGCCCTGATTCTCCAAACCATGGACCTCCCTATTTATGAATTAGAACGATATTTTAAGTATAATTAACGATATAATTGAATTAATAGTGTTGTGTGGTTATTAATATTCATAATATGCAATTACAAATATTCATGTTATTTTATATAATGACACACCCCCAAGATGCTCTGACCCCGGGCAAACCCTTCCCAGGATCCTGCTCCCAGGCACACTCCTCAACATGGGATCAGAGCCCAAACCCATTCCCACTCTGGGGAACGTGTGCTGCTCGGTGCACAGGGAGAGTAAAAATAGAGGGAGGATGTGAAGTGCTCTGCAGACAGTCCAGAGCCCAAAAACCAGCTCCATTTTATGCCAAAACACACAAACCCAAGCCTGGACTATCCGGAGCCCCCACTGCCCTCCGTGGCGTCCTTGCCTCCCGCTCCAAATCCAGCAAAACAAAGCCAAACCAAGTTCCTTATTTTTTTAATCCTGGAGTGGGCAGAGGGGGATTTATCTTCCCCCAGCAGCACCACCTTCCAGTTTTCCAGCTGGGAAAGCTCCTCAGCCACTCCACAGCCTCCATCAACTTCCCTGCCCCAGCAGCAATGGGGAAAACCTCTTCGGGAAAAATAACCTAAGCCCACTTTTCAGTCAAGGAGGAAAAAAAAAAGCAGCCTAAAACTCAATTAAGGAGCAGGCAGATATTTTAACCAGCGCCATGGTTTGTATACTCCATCTGGAGTCCAAAGGCTGCCGGGTTTTTTTTTTAGCAGGAGGGAACTGACATCATCTTAATTTCAAATTCCCATTTATTTTTACATCTGGTCTGAATTAATCTTTCTCAGCGTCCTGACTTTCATGTAATGGAATAATTGCTTACAGACTCGGGGTTTAAAGAGCCTGAATAAACCCAGTTTAAAAAAAGAAACTCCTTTAAAAAACGATAGTAAAAATCCAGTACCTACAACCAAACCCCAGCACGCCTTCGGGATTGGGAATTTTAAACGGAACATCGCCTTCAAGCAAGAGAGCTCAAATTAATCCCAGCTCTATCCAAGAATCAAGAGAGGGTGAGCGAGCCCTGTGGAAAAACACCAACACAAACCAGCCCAGAATTAGGGAGAGCAGCAAAGCTCCATCAGTGCCATGCTGAAGCATCTCTGGAAAATTATCTCTGGAAAAGCAGAGTTTGGCTTAGGGGAAAAAACATCCTCATGGCCAGAAAAGCGTTGGACATGGGCAGAAAAGGGGGGATTCAGGAATGGGAGATGACAGTGAAGGTGGCAGGGAGTGGGGGGCACAGAGGGGCCAGGACGTGCCTGACTCCCACATGTGAGTCAAAGGACACAGGAACACCAAGTATGGTCCTGGGAAACCTCAGCCTGGGAAACCTCAGCCCTGGTTTCCCTGCTGCCACGAGGGCACGGTGTCAGATAAAGCCTGATTTAGGAGCGGCATGGATTTATCCCCACCGCTTCCAGAACATGGCAGGGATTCACATCCCCGGTGAGAAACACGGAGGAGACCATCAGTGACACTACCAGGAACCACCAGCTGGCACCCCCAGCACCCCCACGGGGTGAGGGGCACCCACGGACAACGGGGTCCCACGGGTGCCTGTGACCCAGAAACAGGAGGATCCACGGATGAGAGAGAGGAGCACAGGTAAGGGAGCCAAGAGATGATGGGAACCACGGGTGAGGGTGCCCGTGGGTGAAGGGATGGGTGGGTGAGTGTGATCCAGGGGGTGAGGCGTGCCACGGGCAAGGGGATGTTTGGGTGGGTGTCACCCAGGGACAAGGGGACCCGTGGGTGACTGTGAACCAGGAATGAGGGGACCCGTGGGCAACTGACCCGTGGGCAGAGGGACCTGTGGGCGAGTGTGACCCACGAGCAAGGGGTGTCATGGGTGAGGGGTCCTGTGGGTTATTGTGTGACCCAGGGATGAGGGGACCCGTGGGCAACTGTGACCCACGGGCAAGGGGACCCGTGGGGGAGAGTGATCCATGAGCAAAGGGGTCCCAAAGGTGAGAGGACCCGTGGACGAGCGTGACCCAGGGGAAAAGGGTCCCACGGGTGAGTAAGACCCGTGGGTGAGTGTGACCCAGGCACGAGGGGACGCGTGGGTGAGTGAGACCCGTGGGCGAGTGTGACCCAGGGACAAGGGGACCCGTGGACATGTGAGAGGCAGGGGTGAGGGGTCCCACAGACGAGGGGACCCGTGGGCAAGTGTGAGCCATGGGCGAGGGGTCCCGCGGGCTAGCGCGTCCCTGG